CCCCAAAACCCCAAAACCCCAAAACCCCAAAACCCCTAATTTTTTATTTAAATTTGAAATTATAATGGAAGAAGCATCTTTCGCAAAGCAGAATGGCTCTGACTCTACTTTTAATGATAATTGCAATCAGGAAAAAGTTGGGCTCTCAGATACAGGTGAAGATCTAACTGAAGCTATTTATGATCACATCAAAAGGGGTGAGCTCCAAGAAGCAGTGGAGATCCTCCAGGGTTTTATTGAGCAAGGTAGGCATGACAAGCCAGTATACTCTGTCATCTCTTACTGTTATTACCAACTAGGAGAATATGAAAAGGCTGTTGATAGTTACAAAGAACTTATCAAAATTTGTCCTGATAATCCTCAATATGTCTTCTACTATGCTCAATGCTTGTTTAAAATATCTGAATTTAGTGAAGCAGGTAAGGTCTGAGAGAAACTTAAAGGAACTTCTCTTGATCAAGAAGCAATCCAGCTCTTGGCAGCTATCTCTTATGAGAAAGGAAACTTTTTCGAAGCCAAGAAAAATTTGAGGAAACTTTCCTCGACTGATTTCTCAACTCTCGTAAACAAAGGATGAATATACTTTAAGGAGGGAGAGTACGATAAAGCTGAGCACAAATTTAAAGAGGCTACTAAAATCTCTGAATTTCATGCTGAGCTATTCTACAACCTTGCTCTCTGACTATATGAGAAAGGAGAATTCGAAAAAGCTGAAATTTATGTAGACCAAATCATTGAGCAAGCTTATAAAAAGTATCCCCAATTGAGGGTCTCTGAAGATGACCAGGTTTTTGAGGAGAACAAACAACTGGCAGCCCAGATGCTCAGAGAAACAGCAATAGTAGAAGCTATTAATTTGAAATCTGCTATTCTGTTTGAAAAGGAAGAATATGTTGCTGCTAAAATGACTATAAAAAGAGTACCAGCAATTAGTACTTCTGGAATCGATCCTGTAACTTTCCATAATCAAGCTATTTTCTTTGTAACAGAGAATTCAGCAGAATCGATCAAGAAGATGAATCACTTGTTGAATGAATGCTTATTCCCGCCTGAGACATTTCAAAATCTTCTTTTTCTTTACTGAAAATACTTCTTCTATGATCTTGCGAATGAGTTGATTCATGAAAATCCTAAATATTGTCAGAAATTAATTGAAAAAGACGACCTTGAATACATAAGTACTTTGATCCTTCAACAAAGAGACCCTAAAGAGGCCTGAATCAATTACCAAAAGTTGCTAAATGAATATAGAATATCGATTACTAACCTGAAGTCCAAACTAGAGGACCTCCCAGAAAGATCTCTGGAGAGAAATTCAATTTCGATTAGAATATCTGCTCTGACTGAGAAATATGTAGCTGTTTTGACAAACCAAGCGAAGATTTCATGGGACAATAAAGACTACAACAACGTTGAAGCTTTATTCAAGGAGTCTGCTGATATTTGTGACGAAAATAAGGTTTTCCAAGTCAACCTAGCCCATAGTGTATACATGCAGAGTAAGAACTACCCTGAAGCAATTAAGTATTACGAGGAAATCATCGAGAAGCATAAGGATAATCTCCTTAAATGAGAGACTATCGTTATAGCTAACCTCTGAGTCTGTTATATTTTGTCCAAGGTGAACTCAAAGGCAGAAAGTTTGATCAATCAAGTCCAGGAGCATGAGAAAATAGCGACTATTAATGACCCTTCTCAGAAAGTGTTCCACTCTTGCATTATCCATTTGGTAATAGGAACTCTGTACTGATCAAAGGATATGTTCGAATTTGGTATTAATCTTATCATTAAGAGCCTGAATCCTATCAAAGATAAGCTCGGAACAGATACTTGGTACTATACAAAGCGCTGATTTTTATCATTAATTGAGAAACAATGCAAAAAGCAATGCATCATTAAGCCTGAACTCTACGAAAGTATTTTTGAATTCTTGGATAAAGCCTATAACAACGGAAAGAACATCACCACCATCATTTATGTTAAGAAATCTGAAAGGCATAAGTCTACAGTTGCTTATGAGGCAAAGTTCTTAAAGAAAATCTTCCTAAAACTCCAGAATTCCAAAAACAAGGAGCCTACTATTGATCAGTAATTCCTAATTACCCTGATTAAATATTCAAGTTGAACGCTAAGAGAGGGGTTTTGGGGTTTTGGGGTTTTGGGGTTTTGGGGTTTTGGGGTTTTGGGG